CCCTCCGGGGTCGGTAAATTGGTACCAGACTTGTCTGGGAGGATAGCAGCACTGGCTCGATACATCGGTAGGCCACCGCTAGTCATTCTAAAGGCCAGATGTGCATTCAATCACCTCTAAACGATGCTTAATGAAGTCGAATGCATGGCGCATCCCTTAAGGATTGATCAACACCAAGAGTTTAATCCTTTATAACCTCCCAGTGTCAAACATATAAACTATTGCTGGGGAATTCATCTATCTAATGACGATATCTCTGATTACATCTATTGATCGAAACATTGTGACATGTCAGTAGAATATTGTTCGTTTCCTAACTGCGTATTATTTTTGTTGTTCAAAAGAAACACACCAAAGGAAAAAAAAGCAGTTTACGAAACTGCAATGTGAGGCCATCATGAGAAAAGGAGAGATTCCTGGACGGAAATCACATAGAGCTCCCGACGATTTTATATCACAGTAGAAACGCCCACCATAATGGAGCCAGGAGGAACTCGGAGTTGGGATGAATTACTTGAAAAAGCCGTAAAAAATCGTCATAATCGTAAAAATATTTAGAGGTCCGTAGATCGCATAACACAAAACAAATAACAATAGAAATGTATTTATAAGATCATTATTCTTTATTTGCTTATTTGCTTATGAAAATGTTTATAATTTGTACTGAAATACTGGGAACTACAATCAGTGTTAGAAGGGAGGGTAGTAGCACAGTGGTTAGTGATACCGTCGACCAGGAAGCAAAGGCATCATCTTAACCCTTTTATTTACTGTCTTTTATCTTTTTAATGGCAGGGTATGTTGCAGAATATAACTCGTATATAATGCTGAGATATTTGCAAAACTCCGGACCGCAGGTGTAAGCGGTTGGGAACGAACGCTCTATTGTCCTTACCGGGGAGTAGCGCACTTCACCACCACACAATCCGGGTCCTTCGTTTTGCCTCTCTCTCAGCTAGTTCGGAGTTTTGCAAATATCTCAGCATTATATCCAAAGGCATCAGTTTGACCTCATCCCCACGCTCTCCCCCATTCGACGTGGGAACCTTATCGCCTAGGTATTTCCAAGGGTGCAAGGAGAATAAACTTGACCCGCACTCTATAACATTCACAAAGAATGTGAAATCGTCATGCGGCAGCCAGAACTACACGCGAAATGTCAGGAGATTTTCGTGGACTATGAATGCGAGGCAAACATTTCAAATGGGAGAAGTTCTGAGATCCGCACAGTAGATGTGATGACGGGCCATATAATGAAATGCGATGGAATGTGTCCTTTGCAGAGATGATCGTAGAGGTGATAACCTTCTAGTCAAGCTCTGACAGTGTTCGACGGTGGATTCTTGACCATTGCTGAGCCGTTCGAAGCGATTCCTCACATGCTTCATTTTGCCAGCTAAAGATCATCCAGAGAACTAGTTGGCAGAGAGGTTGTCACTCCTTGAGAAACGTTGGCTGCCATCAATGATTTCTTGTGAACGTCAGCAAGGTGTTTCTGTTACCAGTCAAACTTGCACAATTTGCTCATTTTGTGTTCTTCTTCTTTTTGTGAACTGAGATTGTAATCCCACACGAGCACATGTGAACGCTTTATAGAATACAGGTTTATTTCATGATAGGAATCACTTAGATAGGTTGGTTGCCTTTTAAACTGTTAACAACACAATCAAAAAGAAGGAACTTATCAAAATACTAGGGAAAAATTGGGTAAATAAGTTATGAGAAACTTATGTTTGTCAAATGAAAGTGCAAGGGTTGTGCGCTACACGTCTTAGTACACGTTTATATTGCTCTTGGTGATGATACAATATAACATCCACAAATCCTTCTAGGTTTTTCGCAATAATTACACATAAATATGTAAAATATAGAAGCATCTGAAACAAGTGATACTATCACTGGGTCAAAGTCGTATTTTTCAGAGATGATCGATGTAAGCGCTACACAGATCTTTGCTGGATCTAACCGGGCGAGTGTGAAAACCAGCTTAAATGCGATTCTCGCAGAAATCCCGGAAGTTTGAGGCTTATTTGAACTGATTCATTTTTGAGAAGAACACTAGCCAGCACACTAAACCACAAACGGTGACCAAACCGTTTACAAGCCACAACGTGCTCGGACCATTGTAGGTGAACATGGACCTGAAATCGGATGTGGTTTCACGCATGTGATGGATTTCTGAGAAATTGTAAAATAGTAGAAAATTTGGGAGGAAAGAAAGGGAGGTAAAGGAAAGGTATGGTATGAGTGGGAGAAAGCCAAAGAGTGGAGAATTACAACGAATAACACCCAAGTTGAGATAATAGATTCTGGCTATAAAAGAAGCCCTTGAGAAAGGGAATGTTTTTAGGTCCATTCGAAGGAATACAATAAGAAACAAATCAGACAATAAGAAACTACGTAAAGAAAACGGTAAGCTGTCAGTGGTGCAAAAGTTATTCTGAGCATCCACTTTCTACAAGTTTCCAGCATTCCGATTGGTACTCCTTTTACTTTGAATTTCGTAACGGGTTCTGACCAACCCAAAATTCCGTATCTCTCAGCTCTAAATCTTGTACCAGTGTTACGATTGAGGTTTTTACACAAACTGAGTTCTATGTTGGTTTCAACCAAATATGAGATCAATCGACCCACGCTGCATAAAGTGGACCGAAAATAAGAATCACATCGTCGGCGACCACAATCGCACCTTGCATCACATTCTGAAAACAATTTAAATTCGAATATTCTGCGTGTTGAACGAATCCGACAAAATATTTTCTCTAGATGGACGCGGATTGTACTTTGCGCGACAAGAAGTGGCCATTTTTATCTCATGCTCCAGGCTAATAAAATCTCCCAAGATCGGCAGTGTTCTTGGAGATAAAATCACAGACTTGGCACATCGGTGAGCATTCCTACGCCATTGTGCTGATAAAATATGCATTCATTCCCTTTGCGATGCCTAATAACATCGAATACATATCTCACCCTCAGGGATTCGTCAGCACCCTACTCTCGCATCTTCTATTCGATATTGACGCAAAATCACTACTGAGAATCTTCTACTTTTAGAACGATATTCTTTGGTAGCATTCAAGGTTGTATTTTTACGATTCAAAATAGCTATGGCGGAAGTTGCCTCTTGTACTAAATATCTCCTTAATGTAGCTGACGTCAGCTAAACGTAGAACTGCACCCATTTAGGCAGTACATGCGCTTTTCCTCCAACGTGTACCAATTCAACCAGCAATGATGTAGAGAGCTCAGATGAATGCAACAAATTCGGCGATCGATACTTGAAGAACCAGTGCTTTCAACGGTACGCCGTCAACGGAGATAACAGCCCAACCAAGGGAAATGCTTCGACAACAGCTGCAGATTCATTAGCCCTCCCTAATCCGTTGTCAAACGAGTTGCCGCATACGCAACGTTCTCGGCGCCTTGAGATTTGGCAGAAATAACGGAATTCCTTAGTTAAAACCGTGTACGACTTCCATTCTAGCAATTACTGAATACCATTGAATATTAAGTCATGGAAAGCCTATTAATTTCTACTGGCTCATTTTCTCGAATTTGGTAGATTAAATAACATGGCACGTGTAGCGCAGTGGTTAGAGGCGCTCTACAATGCTCGTTGGTTCGACCCCGCACCCCAGACTCATCGAGACTTCCACCAATCCTGCGCCGCAAATTAATACCAGACTTGTCTGGGAGATCAGCAGCATCGGTTCGATACATTGGTAAGCCACCGCGATTCAGTAGACTAAATGTGCATTCAATCACCTCTGGTAATATTTAATGAAGATAAAGGCGTCGTGCAACTTCTAGAAATTAATCAACGCTGAGTGCTTTATCCTCTTTTATTCATAATCGATAAAGTTGACACGATAAACGAAAACGAATAATATTCTCTGGTAGTAACTCCCAAGTCCGACTTTCTATTAAACTCGCCATTGATTGAATAATTCTTTCTACTTCTGTTCAGCAAACACGAGGTGCTATTTTATTTCTTTATTTACGTACAAGCTGACGTTTCGGCGGATTTCGCCTTCCTCAGAGCCTGGAAAGGTCAAGTTGACAGCAATCTATTCGGCAAAAAACCTCCATAACCAAACAGGGAAAACGCTAAACGAAGATTTCAATCACATTTAACATAGCTCTGCACACTCACCGCTTTCTATGAGACTTCCACTGAGTATGTCGTGTGAAGACCGACCGCACAGAATTCACGTAATGAAGGAAGCGTAATGTGCCCATCAAATCAGAATAACAGGTTTATATACTGTCCAATATCATTCGTGATAACAAGGCATTTCTCCCTGCGGTTCATTTTCGGATTCTTGGAATTAATCCAGAATGCCTCTAGAGTTTTGCGCGCTTGTGTTCTCGATTCTTGCGCGAGGATCGTAACCCTTACTTCAAAATCTTCTCCGTTATGTCTCTGCGTGCTATGCGTGTCTAGTGGAGTATTTGGTTTACGTATGCCGACTAAGTGTTTTTTTATACGTACGCAAAGTGGTCTACCCGTTTCGCCAACGTATTCGTGTGATAGGGGTGAGAGGAGAGGTAATGAACCAGGATGTTTTTACTACTTGGCTTTCGATACCACTTCGTAATGTAGCCGTTTTCTGACAGGCTAATTTGCACGTTCAGAAATGGAAGCCAGTTTTCTTTTGGTTTCTCTCGGGTGAATTTAATGTACTCTGACTGTTCGTTCAAAAACTTGAAACATTTGTCAACTTCTTCTTCTGTTAAACAAATGACCAAGCAGTCATCTTTATATCTATAGTAGAGTAACGGACCGAGGTTGATTACTGGCGTTTCCACCTTAGACGTAAATGCAATGGCAAGGTTTGTTGCCAGTCGTTGTCCCATTGCCAATCCCCTCATTTGAGAGCAGTACTTTCCGGAATATCTTAAGATTAAGCAATTTGGGCACACCTTTAAGAGTGTGATCAATTGCTACATCGAGAAGCCGTACATGTTTATTGCTCCTTCGTGTTGTATAAGGAGCTCGTTTATGGCTTGCATAGCGGAGTCATTCGACCGTTCGTATAGAGGGCAGTGACGTCGAAGGACTTCACCACGTACGCTTTGTTGGGTCGCGCGTTGCGTAGACGATCGAGGAACATTTGGGTGTACGTTAGATGAGCAGGAATGTACTTCAGCAACTGAGTAAGTATTAGAGTTATTAACCACGTTATTCTAACCGTTGGCCCATCCGCGCAGCTAATGATAGGTCTAACCTTAAATAATGATGGTTCGGTAGACACGATATCATCGCTAGATACTAACTTATGGGTTTTGATAAGTAAATACAGAACGGGACATGTTGGTAAGTTAATTTTGAGATGAGAGATAACTGATGGTTTTAACCCTGCCGCTCTGGCCGCTTTAACCCATTCGTTGTTTAACTTTCGGCACTGACTTTTAAATTCCTTCTCAGACGACGGACGATAAAGAGAAGCATCTTTAAGGTGCTTTTCCGTTATCTCAACATCTAACTGATGGGAAATTACAACGAACTCTCCACCCTTATCACTAACTGATAGTCTTATGTTTTTCGATCTTATTGGCTGATTGTGCAGAGCTATGTTAAATGTGATTGAAATCTTCGTTTAGCGTTTTCCCTGTTTGGTTATAGAGGTTTTTTGCCGAATAGATTGCTGTCAACTTGACCTTTCCAGGCTCTGAGGAAGGCGAAATCCGCCAAAACGTCAGCTTGTACGTAAATAAAGAAATAAAATAGCAGCTTGTGTTTGCTGAACAGAAGTGGAAAGAATATTCTCTGGGTTTACGATCAGGGTATTTCTTAGTGTGAACTAACCTGGTCAATATTTCCGAGCACTTTCGAGTAGATGGTGTCCAGAGAAATTGCGGACATGGGCACTCCGATGCCCATCACAACGCAGGTGACTGAGAGAAAGACAATCGGCGATGTTCCATAGGCGGTATCACACCACGTGTACTGTCGAGTATCGCAACCAGTCCCCAATGTTTCTGAAATTGAAGAATTACTATATCATATCGAAAATTGTACTTGACAAAATAATGGACGAAAATGTGCACAGATAGAAGCAAATAGGCTAAAGAAGAACACGACTTGGCTATGATTCCGGAACTCACAGAGCTAAAGCTGCAGTTGCAAAATAAAAGGATCGTGTTCAGTGCGTTCAACAACTCATTCAGCTATGCTTAAGATAAGATATCATACTCACTGTGATTCCTTTGCTAGAGACTGTGGACAGGAATCTGAGATCCACACCACAGAAAAATATTTCAGTGCACCTGTTTTAATTAGCTTTAAGCACTTCACAACCTCTTTGGTTTCAAGATCAGTAAAACAGGTATTGAGGAAAAACAACGCGGAACTGAAGATGGCGATCACAACCCGAATGCTCCTCGCTTTCATCCTTTCATTTTTAAATATATTTTAATGCACTTTATCTGATTACTTAAAAAGCAGTCATATTCCATACAGAGCACTCATTCACTATTTTAATGAAATAGAAAGAAACCGATGTACTGAGTTCAACTCATTAAAGATCGAGATAACTGTAAGCAAATATAAGTGGTGGATTCGAGCCGTTTTGAATGCTTCCTGGCTGCAGCACTGCCTCAAAGCGTTACTTCACAGCAAATAGAATTCTAAAATGAGTGGGTGGGAAATGGGACAGCGGCTGGCACCAAGTCAAGCCACTGCGTCTATGTTTGAAATAGAAGCCCCCATTCTCGACCGCCGGCCGTTACTTTACTGTAGATATATAGGCGATTGTTTTGTCATCTTCTCTGCTCAGGAGGAGATGGACAAGGACATCGAATTCACCGGGAAGAAACCGAAGGAAAATTGGCCTCCATTCCTTAACGTTTAAATTAACTTATCAGACGGTTACATGGCAAAGTGGTACCGAAAATCAAGTAACAAATACATCGTTGTTCATTTACTCTCTTCTCACTCTTCACTCACAAAGAGGGCGATTGTGAGAAAGATGTTCCGAACAGCCGCCTCTGTGTGCATTACCAGGGAACTAAAGGAAGAGTCGCGCGACTTGGCTCGGCAAATAACGATCTCCAATGGCTACGAAACAGTAACACCGTGAGATAAGTTTAGAAGGACAGCGATGCCCCAGAACGAAACACTTCGTCAAGAGAAAATCCCGTTTGTGTTGCCCTTTACTAGCGATGAAGTAAGTATAGCTATAAACCGATGCTTGAGAAGGGCAGGTCCATAGGAATCGGTTGCGGTAGTGGAAATACCACTGGATACTCCTCGTCGTTAGCTAGTTCGTAACCGCCTGTATGACCGTCATTATGAAACAGAACTGTTTAATTTGCCCCTATGGCAGAGACGGTGACTGCATGAGTTCAGGTACGATATACCTGATCTCTTGTAATAATTGCGGAGATGAACACATTGGCGAAACGGGTAGACGTTTATGTATCCGCATCCTACAACACCTAGATGGCAAACAAAAAGCAAAACAAGGCACGCCACTATGGACGCATAGGATACAAAAGCATAGCGGAGACGATTTTGATATAAAAGTAGCTGTCCTCGCACCGCACGGGATCCTAAAACACCAAGGCGAAAGCTTTTTGGGGTTTTTTGGATAAATGCCAAAAACTTTACAATGAAAAGCAGGGAGCGTATCAATAGTTGATGTGGGGTGGTGGAGTCATCGACCACATGCGACTCTAAGCGGCTGTTTTACCCTTAGTGGAAGGCAAGTAGTAAACGGTGGGTTTTTCGAGAAGCTGTTGATCGTGTGATTGTCGTTCAGGTTTTCATCTTTTTATTTGTTTTATTGAAGCGTTTGGCGTAGTAAATTGCGTATCAGTATACCCTTCCAGGGTCTGAAGAAGGCGATACCGCCGAAACGTCAGCTTTCCTGAGGTGAAGAATAAAGTAACACCTCATGTTTGCTCAAAAAGAATATCGAGAACTATTTGATTAATGCCGTGGTTAATAGAAAATCAGTCGTGAGAACTCCACATTTTCTCTAACGTCAGTCCCAGCAACTGCACGTTGTGGAGAAAGAAAGCAGTAGACGGTTGGACGATAACTGGAATTATTACCAGAATTGTTCTATTGGATGAGCAGAACACACAGTAGTGCAAGCCACGAAGAAATAAAACCACCTGGCTTGGAAAATACTTCGGCTAAAAGAATCATATAGTTAAGCGTGCAGGCCATCAGCATAAATTCAGTGAAGAACATAGTCACTTTTATTTACTATCTAATATTTTTTTTATAATTTTTACCAGACCGCAGGTGCCTACGGTGAGGGCCATCATTCACCACCACACCATATGGGCCCTTCGTTTCGCCTTCCTCTCAGCCTATAGGTGCTAACAGCAATCACCCGTCAACGAGATTGATCTGAGGAGCCCACGTCGGCATTGAACCCATTTAAGCTGAGGTTTTCGTTTTTTTTCTGTGAATTGTATTTCGCATAATACCATGGCGTAAAAAATTGTAGTAGGCGGCAAATAAAAAGGTAAACGTTGTGAACTCAGCAGCATTTTCATCAAAATAAGTGGACGCTGAATAAAGAGCACCCTACTCCCATAAGGATATTCAGGAAGAATCTAATTCATCAGTCACAATCAAATTCACCAGTGAGGTCAATGAAGCTTTGTAACAGCACGAGGTGCTCCCTAATCTCACTTCCATTGCTACAAAAAGCATCAGTCTGACACTTCCTATTTTATTGAAACCGTGATATAAATAATCTATTTCAATAAAGTAAGGTTAATGAGAATGCATTGTTTATATTTGATTCCAATGGATCGCGGTCTTAAGGAAGAAATTTTGACACAAGGTTATAAAATCGTACAGACCTTCTAGTATCTTTCTATAAAGAAAACTATATAGAAGCAGCAAGGACCCTCAGAAAGCACGGAGGAACTATTGCTTTAATAGCAAACGCATATATAAGTTAATACTTCCAAACTGATTGTGGAGTGCACTCTTTACAAAGTTGATATCGGAGATACTTTCCAAATGATTACCCTTCGGAATCATTCGTGGAAGAATTTCTCAGGGAATTAAGAAATCGCTCGAGAAAAAATGTAAAACTTTCTGCTCACCGTTATACGGTAGCATTTTGTGACTCGTCATTTCATATGGGTATGAGAGAACGTACATAGCGGCGGTCACGGAAGCAGCAAGTAAGAACGAGCACCTCGGAGAGATTCTGAAACACAGATATTCTGGAGCAGAATCCAAATAAAGGACAAGGAAACATATCCTGAAAACTTCAGTAATTACTCTTCAGTGTCACATCAGATCTCACTTTTAGCCAAACTTCCTTAAGTTATTTTCTTGTAATTCTTAAGGCTGAGGTGTACCATGTCATAAAGGACTCGAAAAGTATGAAGCGTCATTGTCATGAAATCTCATCAACTAGCCAACTTCCCAAAAACTTCAGCGTTCTTAAATTTTTCAACGAAGAATGAGTAGAATAACATAAGAACATGTCAGATAATTAATAACAGAATCACGCACATGTTTCCGAATCGAAGAAAAATGAACGCCACTGCGATGATGATAGCAAGAACTCCAACAACACCCATGCATAACGAGAGCACGTTCACCGTTTTCTGGCCGTCCCATCCGTAGGAGATCATCACGAATGGAGAAACAACACTATATTGGATATGATTCATATAGCTTGCGAGGAAAAGTCTGCTCTTGCAGGTAGAAACCCAGACTCACGTATATAACGTCACCACGGTAAGGCTAACTAGCATCCTCTCCATCCAGCACACTATGATCAGAGGCCAGTTGAGATCCATGGAGTGCAAGCGTCTAATCCAAGCTTTGGTATTCTCCAGATTGAACGAGTAACCCACTTCTAAATAAAACATTTCTGGAAGTTTAAACCGGTGAACCACGTTTCTGATTATCAGAAAAAATTTTATTTACAAACCCATCTGTCTTCAACATAGAAATATTGATTAATGTTGCAATCTTTGGCGGTGTGGAGCCAAACGTTTCCCTGTGTTCGTTTGCTATTTCCACAATTGCTTAGAACTTTTCTTTTCCCTTAATGATTGGTCGGTGTTTACATGCGTCATAGTAAAGTGTAGAATGGAAGTTACAACGCCGCCAAGGCTCTCCAATAGTTATTTTTTATTTATTTACAGAAGAAATAGCTGAGAGACAGGCGAAACGAAGGACCCGCATGGTGTGGTGGTGAACGCGTTACTCCCCGGAAAGGACAATAGCGCGTTCGTTCCTCACCGTAAACACCTGCGGTCCAGAGTTTTGCAAATATCTCAGCAACATTGTGGTTGTATTTCGCTTAGTACCCTGCCGTGAAATTATAATAGGCAGAAAATAAAAAGGTATAACATTATTTATTTACAATTACTTTAATCACATTTACCGCGCGGATCCGAGCACTTTTTGTATTTGATTCGTTTTCCTCGGATTTATCGTCCACAAAGGTGTTCAAACGTTGAATGCTGTTTCCGTTGCTGCTTGAGGACTTCACATTCTCTATGAATATGGTTGAATGCCTGTCGAGTCAATTCTTCCTGCAATCTAGGAGATAACCGAGCTAAGAGGCGTTACAACGTGGACTGCGCGAGAGTGTTGGGGAGAGGTTGAACCAACATCTTGCTTACTGGTGGACAGAATTACTAACCATTCCACTATCTCCCACTTCCTACCCAACATTACAACTATTGAAGCCAGACCATGAATAAACCTAGACTTCGATTCGCAAGGACCGGTGACTGATTGTGGGAACGACTTCTGAAACATTAGATAGGGTACTCTGTGACTTCAAGGCAAAAAAGTTGCCAATTCGGTAACATACATTGAGAGCAGTCTCGCAGGTGGGCGGACCTTTGTGAGCGCTGCCTGTTGAAGTATCGAAGGATCTGCACAGGTTGATTATTTAGAACTATGTAGGACACCTTTATAGATAACTGGACTTTGTCTATAAAAAAATTGGATTATTTGCATTTTTTGTGGAAAATTCGGCTCTGTATATTCATCAAGTCAAATTTCCACGTGGTTGGTAGCCTTGGAATGAGAAACTTCGTTCCCTTAAGTTATCTGAAAGGCATAAAGAAACTATTGAATGGAGTCATTCTTGTTTATCCTGGTGAGGCCAGAATTGGAAGTTCAGTTTGACAAATAAGAACGTTCTCACCGACTGGATTATACGGCAGTCCTCTGGAGAAACAGTTGTAATAAGTAAATAGAAGAAAGAGCAATTAGGGGCAGACAGCACAATGGTAGTGATGTCCGTCATAATGAGCATGGTGCTAGTTCGACTCCGCTCCGGGTCAACCAAGCCTCTCATCCATTCCGGGGTCGGGAAATTGGTAGCGGACTTCTCTGGGAAAGAATCACTTTCTGCAATCCAATTGAGAACACTCCATCCCGGTTATCCCAGAACTCCAGCAAGAATCCATTCAATCACCATTCCACCATATCCAAGGTGAAATGAAAATCTTCAAACAGCGACCGAAGCCACGCGTAAAAGTTGGAAGATCTTCGTTGATAGTGGATGCGAGGAAACGAATTGAAAGTGAGAGGTGCTGGGATCCGCACGGTAGACGTGAAGACGAGGCAAATAAAATAATATGAAAAATAGCGATTATCGAACACAACAATTTAAGCAAGTCAAAGAAGAGATAATTCTAAGAGACCTTCGGTGGATTTTAACGAATAAACGTCCTTCAGCGCGTAGTGGATGATGGCGACTGAGATGAAGTTTGTGAACGTCGCGATCCAAATCGGTGCCGAATAAATATGAAACATCAGAAATCCCTCGATGAGCACAAATCCAGGATATCGTATTGACGCGAATATAAGTTGGCAAACTGAAAAACAAATCTAATCGCAATCAACGAAAAAACTACACCCGATTGGTTCAAGTTGAATGCCTCAGACTGCGAGCACGCCAGAATCACTAGAAAAACAGAACACTGTCATAACTGCAGCAGGTAAAACTTAATACATAAATGTTTATTATACTGATAGTGTTTAATCGAGTGGATTGCGCGTCAATTTGACCCTTCCAGGCTCTGAAGATGCCAAAACCACAGAAACGTTGGCTAGTATTGTATTGAATAAATCTCCCTGTCAGAAACCTTGCGTTTGATCATAAGAAAAGCAGTGTATTTATCGATCGACGCCAAGCTTAAAAGAAAGTCAGTCCTAGATTTGCTGCATTTAGTCGGATATATCATGCGCGTGTAGCGAAGTGGTTGAAGGGGCCACTGTGGCACACACGTGGGACCGATCCCCTCACCCACGGCCCACCAAGCCTTCCATCCCTCCGGGGTCGGCAAATTGGTACTTGAGTTGTCTGAGAGGATAGCAGCACTACCTCGGCACATCGATAGGCAACCGCGAGTCACTGTAAAGGCCAGATATGCATTTAATCACCTCCAACGATTCTTAATGAAGTTGAATGCATGGCGCATCCCTCAGGGATTGATCAACGCCGACAGAGAGAGAGCTTTCTATCTTTTATTTAGTCGGATATGCCAAGTAGGTTCAACAACAAAAACTTTCTGGCAAAAACACAACTTTTACACCATTCATACTTTTTGCAGGTAATCAAGCTTTTTTCTTTAAAAATTTTATCCGATGCGATCTTTGGCCTGTCGAATTGATTCGGTGCCTACGGCAATACGGAATTTTAACTTCTTACCACTATTCTCTTAGTAATTTGCCTTGAATTTAAGACGACGATGTTCTTTTCCGTTGTGAGATTCTACGACAAAATTGCGATAGATTTTTCAACTTTGTGGATTCTCCGAAATCGGTTCAATTTCTTGTGAAAAGTAAATCTTTTGGAGGCAAGATACCTCATGGTATACCTATCATTGCAAGAGACCTCTATCCGATTATAGTAACGCAATCGACCAATTTCTGCAGGTCTTTTTCTGAATGCCTCCTCTACTTTTCATTATTGTTCAGGTGATCAATAATAAAAGGCGTGTAAAGGCTGGTTTAAAACCATCAGTTATCTCTCAACTAAAAGTTGACTTACCAACATGCCCCGTCTTGTTCTTGCTTTTAAAAACTCATAAGTTAGTTTTTTAGTATCCAGCGATGATCTTGCGTCTACTGATCCATCATTGTTTAAGGTTAGACCTATCACTAGCTGCGTAGACGGGCCAACGCACAGGATAACATGGTTTTTAACCCTAATATTTAACCAGTTGTTGAAACACATTCCAGCCCATCTTACGAATACCCAGATGTTTCTGGATCGTCTACGTACTGCGCAGCCCAGCAGCACGTACGTGATGGAGTCCTTCGACGTTACCGCCCTCTATACAAACGTGTCGAATGACTCCGCAATGCAAGCCATATTCGAGCTCCTTATACAACATGAAGGAGAGTGCACAAATGTTTCGAGTTGTTAAATGCACAGTCAGAGTATATCAAGTTCACCAGAGAGAAACCGAAAAAAATGGCTTCCATTCCTGAACGTCCAAATTCACCTGTCAGAAAATGGCTACATTACAAAGCGGTACCGAAAGCCAAGTAGTAAAAACATCTTGGTTAATTACCTCTCCTCTCACCCCTGTCACACGAAAAGGGCGCTTGCACGAAACATGTTTCGAACAACAACCAACGTGTGCACGGGAAGAGAGCAGAGAGAAGAGTCCCGGAACCCGGAACAAATACATTGGTGAAACGTGCAGACCCCTCTGTGTCCGCATAAAAGAATACCTAGTCGGTAAAAGTAGACCAAATACCCCAATAGGCACGCATAGTACCCAGAGACATAACGAGGAGGACCTTGAAGCACGTGTCACGATCCACGCACAAGAATCAAGAACACAAGCGCGCAAAACTCTCGAGGAGTTCTGGATTAATTCCAGAAATCCAAAAATGAACCGCAGGAAAGAATGCCTCATTATCACGCGTGATATTGGTCAGTATATAAGACTGTTATTCTGATGGGAGAGGCACATAACGCTTTCGTGTGAATTCTGTGCGGTTGGTCTTCACGCGACATACTCGGTGGAGGCCTCATAGAAAGCGGTGAGTGTGCAAAGATGTGTTCAATGTGATTGAAATCTTGGTTCAGTGTTCGCTTTTTTGGTCATGGAGGTGTTTGGCCGAATAGGTTGCTGTCAACTTGACCTTTCTAGGCTCTGAGGAAGGCGAAATCCGCCGTAACGTCAGCTTATTCGTGAGTAAGGAATAAAAGTAACACCTCGCGTTTGCTCAACAAAAATACGAAGAATCACTTGGTCAATGCCGAGGTTAATAGAAAGCCGGTTGTGGGAGTTACTAAAAGGCGTGTATTCTAAAGAAGATTATGGCTTACCTGGTCCGATAACAATAGAGAGCATAGTCGCAACGACAAATGCCGAATAGGCCTTCGCCCGATCTTGTGTCGTACTGACGGCAGCAAGGTAAGCGCGAAGTACCGCTGACGAACCTGTTACAATAAAAAAAACTTAGTAAAACATTAACATTAGCATATTGGCACATTAGTATTGGAGGTAGCCCTCATCCTGCTATTATCTAAATTGCATTAAAATCAGTGCAGCTTAACTTGCAATTACATTCAAAAGCTCTTTCACTGCGAGCAATGGCAGAAAATCAACAGCCGTTATCACAGAAAATCTTAAACAAGCTTTTTTTGCTGTTAATTTTTTAAAAATGTCTTAAAGAGTTCTTCCCTTTCAGTTTAGTTTTTAGATCGCTATGCTTTTGTTACAGATGACCTTCTCCACGGGCCTATGGCTTGGATACCAAATTGCGATGTGTAGTGGAGAGGTTCACCCCTTTCACATTCGCTCAGACTGATGAGTTCGACATTTTTATCCCGTAATGCAGCTTTGAATGTTCAACTGATAACCTGAGCAACTATTCTTCTCGTTTAGGCTAGTTTCTAGATTGCTGTACTTTTGTTACAGGTGACATGCTCCACTGGTCTTTGGCTTGGATGCCTAATTGAGATGTATAGTGCCGAGGTTCATCACTTACACATTCGTCCAGATTGACGAGTTCGACATTTCTATCCTGAAAAGCAGCTGCAAATGCTTCACTGCTGAGTTGAGCAACTTAAATGAACCTTCTTGCAAGGAACTACAAAAATGGGCATAAAATCAAAGTGAGCATCTTCGTATTTCTTGCTTGAGTAATCGGAGCCTATTGAGCAACTTTCGCCCGCTAGGAGGATAAATGAAGTTTACAGTTGTAGTTTTGCATTTACTCGATGCGCATGACACGCTCATCTTCTTCCCCTCAATTAATGGCAGTAGGTCGCTACAGTATGATGGTAGTATAGTCCCTTTTAAAATGGATAAATCGATGAGACTCACTGCTGGCAATCCCGAAGAGGAAGTAGCACAGCAACATGAGATACCGTCTCCCTTCTGGTAAAAGTTCGACGGACAGATAGAGACAACAGGCGACGAACGCGGTCACGCGGCCCACAATCAGTGGCATCCTGAAGATTTCCAGCAGTAATCGTACAGGATGTACGTATAATGAACTCCCACGCACTAGATTTAACCATACCCATCATCACTCTAAGATGGGCAAAAGCTTGTCTTGAAGCATAGAAACATTAATTTGATGCATTAGTAGCTTCCACATGCATATGTCAAATGTGATTTCATTCAGTACTGTGAAGCTTGATGGAGTACGAATGCACCGTGCATGTGTAAGGACCGATCAGCGCCTAACGTTTTGTGCTACATCATTCATTAGAAATCGCAAATAGGAGCATTGGTGACGCCTTCTGGAACAGAGCTCTTTGTGGACAACTAAACACGCAAAGCACTTGGCGACGTAAACCATTGTGTTATTCTATTCTATGCGACTTCCGAGTCTAATGTTGTCACCTACAGTGAATAGGATTGTTCCGCATATTCTGCCCATAATATGAGCCGAATTTACAGGTTTCCCATTTCCAGAATATTCTGGATCTTTTCACATAGTAGTTTACTGCTTTTAGTAGTTCCAGTAGTTACAGTATTTTACTTCACCTTGGCGCTCAATCTCTTATAGCACGGTTATCGACGTTATTGACTAAAGCACTTTGTTTTAACTGCCCCTTGCCCTCGTAGGGTACTCAAGTCTTAGGCTTATAACGCACTTGAAGGAGGTATAGAAGTTTTATGGAATAGCAGGAACTCTAACATAAGGGACAATTCTTCAAATTGTCGTAGTACCAGTTAACAACAATTCACTACGAATTTCTCAAAATCAAAGTCAACGTTGATTAAACGAAGCCATAATTTTCTCATCCAGAGTTAGGCCTCTTGATCATAGCCTTAACATTCTCTGACAGCTGTTTCCGGTAGGCGAACTCGCTTGCGCGACGACAGATAACTAGTTCGTAAAGGATCAATGTGAGAAGCAAAGTCTTCAGCTAACCCCTTTGTCCAAATGCATGGAAAGAAAGAGTAGAACACGAAGAAAATAGTGAAATTAATGAAATCAACTCTACTTCATTTGCTTTCTTCGAATCGGCCCAAATTTGGTCAGGAGCAAAGCTGTTATGTGAACTTATCGTTCACTGGCTGTGAAATTTTCTTTATTACCTTTTTCGTACGATGAAGTCTATCCGATTCGCACGGCATGCAGGAACAACTTTACTTGCTGAAACATTGCCTTCTCCTTCTTGCCTTTTTACTTCAACATTTCACGCCTTTTTATACAGCAGGGTTGCTGAGCACTCCAAGCTACCTCAGAATCTTAGCGACAACAGGTCCGGTAAGAATTCATTGAAATTCGTGAGGAAAACAGCATCTTCAAGCACTTACCAGCCCCAAATGTAAATTCGAATGCTGCAGTGGCAGGTGCAGGACAGCAGAGCGAATGAAGTGCAAAAATCCCCACAATAAATGAACATTGGTCCGGTGAATGCATACATATTAAACGTACGCTACCTACTGCTCCAGCCTATACATCCATAGGAAAATACGGTAGTAATCATGTTGACCACCTCAGTGCAGAGTTTTCGACTAATCATAACATATTAATGTGAAGGAATATTTTCCATTTTCTTGCATCGTCAACAAGGCCAATAGTGCTTATACAAGAATATCGCTGTATCTTCAAATTATGGAAAAGGCAAAGTAGAAAACCCGGCATTACAATTGCCATTGATGGCACCAACATGAAAGGGAAGGCTCAGAAAAATATTAGTTGGAAGGATCTATATTTCTCTCATATTACACTCACTTTGTGCTTCGAATTTTGTAGGTCCAGAAAGCGAACACGACGGCAAACATGGCATGTCCGAATTTCGACACGGAGGACACAAATCCGAAAAACTGCGAAGTGGCTTCGCGGTCGATCTAAACAACAATGAATCTGGAACTCTTACACTCTTCAACTTTCTGAAAATTTGAGGGCCAACGTCTGCGCATTTGTGTGATTAATTCGGCGTCAGGTAGGTCATGTCGGCAGTTGAACAAGCACTACTGCTCCGTACGCCGATCTGTTCAAGAAGTCTAATAAATTCACAAATTTGATGCTTACAAGGCGCGTATATTTTTTCGTGTGAACGCTTCTAATGACTTTTTCATATGACCTGTCTTAACGTCTATTGTGCGCATCCCAGCACTTCTCACATTAGATTCTTTTCGTCGTATCCATTATCCACGAAGATCTTTCAACTGTATGTGTGGCTTCGGCTACTCTTGAGGATTTTGATTTCATCTTGGATATGGTGAAATGTTGGTTGACTTGATTCTTCCTGGAGCTCTGCGATAGCCGGGATGGAGCGTTCCCAATTGGATTGCAGAGAGTGATGTTTGTTTCCCGGACAAGACCGGTAGAAATTCCCCGACGCCGGAGGAATGAGAGGCCTGGCTGCTTTGAAGCGAAATCGAACTAGCATCGTGCTCGTGATGACCGACATCACCACCACTGTGCTATCCGTCCCGCTTTCTTTTTAATACATTATAAAGCAAGCGTAGAGCGCTGCTCTGAGCCGCCATGAAATACATATGGGATTGGTCGCACTGCCCATGACTCAGCAAGCCTTCCATCACTCTGGGGTCGGCCAATTGGAACCAAACTTGTCTAGGAGGGTACCAGCACTGGTTCGATACATCGGTAGGCGATTACGGTTCATTGTAAAAGCCAGATATGCATGCAATCACCTCCAACGGTGCTTGGTGAAGTCGGATGCATGGCGCGTCCCTCAGCGATTGATCAACGCCAAGAGTTTTATCTTCTTTTAGCTTTATGTTATCTTCTACAACAACCAAAGGTTTATGAGTGGCGTTTGTTACTTTGGTTATAAAATGAGAAATGCTGTGCGCAAGTTCTTTTTTTTAAAAGCGTCTCGAAAGTTTTCTACAGGAAACGTAGTGCATCATATCTTTCAGACTTCTGTAAAATATGAGACGAAAAGCCGGTTCTTGACTGATCCTCCTTATAACGACAAATTCCATCAACGTGAAATTTTTGATGGAAATTCTGATATGATAAGATGTGATCGAAAATAATCAGTAAGTGCCTACCGTGTGCATATAGGGCCATTCGGACATTGTAACTACAGTATTTTCGACGGCCGACAGGAATGTTACAATGCCGGCCATCGTCACTGCCTTCCAGTCAGTTTTCTTTTCCATTTCTGCAAAAAAAAATCATTGAGTGCGTTAGGAAGTGATGAAAACGATCACTATGGCAAGTTCAAACCTACGGAAACTTTATTTGTTCTTCTGACCTTTTTGATAATTAAGCACAGTTTATAACTCATACGCCCGTAATTTTGTGCGGTAGCGTTAGGACAATGCTTATCTTATCGCCTTGAGCAATGTGCACTGGAAAACTCAAATAAAATATTTTTTTGTAAAATATTAAGTTCAAAAGACAGTACTTTATGGATCCGCTAAGAGACCGCGTCTGTTCTGAACAAGCAATTGATTGAGTGCAGAAAGCATAGCAGATAACTTTTTTCAAAGAAATAAATAGTCGGAAAGAATATGAACTGAAGCGAATGCATGTGGTCCACTGTACCAGCCACATAAGCAACGTTATTTATACAAACGCCTGCTTTTGTTTTAACTATAGCTAATTTAATTCGTTTATGTTGTCGCTCTGTTGGCACACAGAGCTGGACCCTTCCATTTCTTTGCGAAAAGCTTAAAGCTTAAAAAGCAAAAAGTTGGAAGGTGTAAGCTAAAAGGACCTCACGAGTTCTAACCATCATCCATAAATCATACACTTCGATAAGGAATTCTTTCAAGTACACCTTGATTTGGGCTCAAGCAAAGCAAGAGCTTGACAACTTGATAGACGAAACCATTGAGAGAAAATTAAAACAAAATTTGTCTGTAATTTACCCTATGTCTATGTGCCTACGTCTCAAAAAAGAAGCCACTTGGAGTATAACGTTGTTAAGGAAAGTTCATTGGATTCTCGTTTTGTTGACACGAAATAAAAGCTGTGACTGAGCTTTCAGACATCCTCCGAAAATTTTATATTCCTTATGAAAATTAATGAAATCAGAAGGAAACGAGAAAGAAGCAGTTGAGAGTTGTAGAAATAGCAACTAGAATAGGGGTGCTATTGAAAAGCGCGAAATCCCTAATCGTAAACGAATTCACCGGAAGATGATGAGCAGGTTCCGTCAGAGTCATTCGTTGAAAACGAATACGATTTGGAATCACTGAGTCCCGCCTTTTTGATATTTTTTACTTTCTGTAACTCCATAACCTTCTCTGAAATAACAAACATCATCTTCATGCCATAATAGTGTTGTAACCCGCCAGGTCCTTTTGGTACGTCAAACCGGAAAAGTGCCGCAAAACATTGTGAAAAAATTTCACTGCATTTAAAAAGCTACACATAAACAGGATAAAAAGGAAGAATAGATTGAAATGGAGGATAAAACGTTCGGCTTTGGTTAAGTCTTGAGGAATGAATGAGCTATGCATGAGCTTTAAAGTACCGAGTTAGCGTTTTTACCTTTCAAAAAAATCCAGTACTAACTCTGTGGTTGTTGTACAGCAATGTAGGAATTTGTTAGCCCTAGTACGGAATCTGACCAACGCTCTGTGTTGGCTGCTGACCGTCTTTAACCACTACGCAACACATAAGATTTTCAACATCATTTCTATTTGACCTACTAGCCATCATTTCCAAAACTCTCAATCTGGCAAGTGAATCTACATCGCGATGATGTATTTCTTCCGGACAAGAGCGAAGACGAAGAAAAGAATTTATACCGGCACCAAAGATCAAGGACTAACAAGGAGTTGCCACCGCAGACGAAGAGGAAACTATGATAACATTACGGTGACCTTAGCACACGACATTAAAAAGTGACAGAAGAGACAACTCCCAAGTTCAGTGCAACTGTTCGATGGTGAGAGAGCATATGTCATGCTTCTGCTTCTTTTTTCTTGTTGTTTCGTCACTATCGGAAATAGCAGCAGATACAACGTGGTGGAGAGAAGGGCGAATGCAATTACGGATATATTCAGGGTTAAATAAATCCTGTTTACGTAGGAATCTGGGCTTGTTAGTAGGAAACGAGTGGCCATGACGATTTCAAGGACAAAAAGTTGAAATAATAGAATCTTCAATGAAGTTAACACCTAGGCTTCAAGCTGTATTTTCGACAAATTATGACAGTTTGTCGATCATTAGAGTTGAGTTTAAAACTTAACAGATTTTTTCGAAGAAAAGATTGTTCTATCTCTTGAGGAACCATGTGATTTTTGGAAAATAGCCTTCAAGTTAAAGGTGTCTTGAATTAAAATCAAATTTAAACGAAAAATTGAGTGCAAAATTTGTATCCTTAAGGATTTAAATGCAAATACTGTGGGGCTGTAGTTATAGAATCGGTTCCTGCCGAGGTGCTCTGTTAGTTGACACTTATGTCCAAAAGGCGAGTCTCAACGCAAGAAGTGAAAAACTATATCTGTTGGGCTGCAGAGAATCATAATTTTGCTCAGATATGATAGGAAAGCTTGTATCTGGGTGGCAAGATCTTTTGGGTCAATTATTGAACTGCAATGTAAACTGATCTACTTAGATTTAAGATGAAGGTGACCACAATTTTGGCAACGAATGCATTGAACTTAATGCATTTCGGATGTTGTGTGTTAAGTGCAATGAAGTGAGAACACGGGCGAGACGGTGGTCAGCAAGCTTTCGATGAAAAAACTTCCCGTCGAATTGTCGCCTTAGTGACTGAATGTAGAGACATGCTAACGATTCTGCTCCACAATAAACGACGCATGGTGGACTACAGAACATCAGCGCCAGCAGTGCATGACGATAACATCCTCAATGCATTACTAGTTTTGGTAAAAGAGAAAAAATAATTCCTCACGATTAAATAGTTCTGTGAAAAAAGCGAGAATATTAAATGTTTAGCCGGCGATAGATAGGATGATATGACCAGAAGTAGTGGTTGACCGATTCCAGAAAGCGCGAGAAGAACTTTCTTAGAACAGAAACTAAATCGGCAATGTAATGGCTCAAAAGGGCAAATAGGCGGATCTAGTTTTGAAATGTGATAATGCCGAACTTCACTGGGTGCTGTGTCATCGCAAGGTCGTACGTCCAGAGTACTACTCAATTTATCATCCCACTATTGATGTTATTTACGACTTCATCCATTGATTGAAGCACTGTTAAATTGTGGGTTTCCTAAGTGTGTATCGTTTTGAAATGCAAAAGAAGCGCGCGAAGGGAAAAAGCGGCTTGGGAGAACAGAGATTGTCATGAGAAACGCTGGGAAAATGACTACCGCCGAATGTGACACACACGCGACCGGTTCTCTTCACATGGTGATTCCCGGGCTAAAATCGCATAGTCTTCTCTACGACTCTAAACTACAGAAAAAAACATCTATCGAAACCAATAGGAGGTTTTAGTGATTGTGTAGCTCTAGGAAAATCATCGTTGTTACAAATAAGAAAATGTGTTCTGATAAGTTCATTATTTAATAGAACGCATAAAAATGCTATGAGGTCCCAATAGTATTTCTACTGCTCACGCTTCCTGGGCGAAAGATCGTTAATAAAAGCTAAAAGGATAAAGTTCTCGGCGTTGATCAATCCCTGAGGGATGCGCCATGCATTCGACTTCATTAGGAATCGTTGGAGGTGATTGAGTGCATATCTAGCCTTCATAATGACTCCAGGTGACCTACCGATGTATCGAATCAGTGTTGCTGTCCTCCTAAACAAGGCTGGTATCAATTTGCAGACCTCGGAGGGATGGAAGGCTTGGTGAGCCTTGAGCGCGGCGATCGGTCCCATGTGTATTGCAGGACTCCTCCGACCACTGCGCCACACGTAACCTGTAAGATCATGAATAGAGTTGATCAAAGAGATCCTTACTACTTTGGGAGACGAAAGAGATCAGCTTGACTCAAACGTTTCGTACCCGGTGCCTGGTTTTGAATCCTAAAGTAATCCAATCGAACATCAACAGCATTGACGCAACGCGAGAGAATTTCTGCCTGGTGAAACACATGAGACCGATAGTGGTTTTCACTCAATATATGCTGTTTTCTCGTCCTATAATACCTTTTAATCCGGCACAATTGTATGCGATCTTTGCATTCGTCGCCATTAGTGATTTATTTAGCGGCCCATTGTTGGCCATGAAATTCATTTAAAATCTCTTCAAAACTTTCCATCAAAGCCAAAAAAGTAAGTCAGAGAGAGCCGTCCAGGGTGCAAGAAATTTCTTGAGTAATTTCAAAAGCTACTTGGTTAGAGTATTGATTGCCATCGGAAGGGACATGCCATGAAGTGATTCTGCGGACTTCTAAGACCGGTGAACTTCTAGCGAAAGAAATAGAAAGAACTTTTGTGGCTGGTACCTAGTCAACCACTTTTTGGTCTCCGATATTTCAGTGGAAAAGGCAAAGAATGATACAGCTTTCGACTCACAACAATCGCTGAGGGCTACACCTACATTCGACTCCATACACCGCATCTTGGAGGTGTTTGCATGTATATTTTGACCGTTATGGTCTTCGAATATATTATTCTAATAATTTTATCATAGCATATAACTCTGGTATCAATTCACCGACGTCCGACAGATAGAGTGCATAGTAAGCCAAGCAGCATAGTCGAAGCAATGCCACGTGTAAATTGATGGTTCTCCTCATCACTGCGCTACATATCTCCTTGTCCTGAAGCGAACCTCTGAAATATCAAGCACATTCACTTTTTTAGAGTTTTAGATAATCTTTTCTTTACTGCTATGACCACATTAGATATCCTTTGGAGCATGATTGCTTCCGTTCCACGAAATTCAACGGGCCTCCTCTCACATGTAACGGTTAAGTACACCTCGTCGGATGCTGCGGATGTTACAAATGGACAACCCAATTGAACAGCTTTTCCAATATTTCAAAAAGTCATGGTAACCTTATTAGTCCGTTTGTCATTGGATGGTTGAATAGTGTTTTAGAGTACCCGAAAGAGTATCCCAAAATTTATGTGCTATTGGAATTCTGCTGCAAAGCTTGTTCAAAGAATTCTGTCGCATATGTTTCATTCATCTGTGGCAATGACTGATGACTAAATGACTGATGACTAAACACAATTTCCTTTTCTCCTAATAGTGCGTACCTCCATTTTCTTGTTAATCACTCACA